TTTCCCCGCGCGGCAAGCATATCAGCCCGAGGGCCGGGGCGCACGGGGGGAGGGAGCGACGCTGCGATCTCTGCGGCGCGGGTCGAGCGGCGCAGCGCGGCTTCCCAGTCGGCGGCGTCGATTGCGGCGAGCTCTGCCCGCTGCTCCTCACGCAAGGAGGCCGCCGCCTCGCAGCGTGCCGCCTCTCGCTTGCGAGCGGCGGGGGTCGGGGCGAGGGCCTCTTCGCAGGCGCGGCACTCGCAGGTGAAGAGGTAGGAGCTGCGCAGCGCTTGCCGCCTACCAGACCGAGAGACCCGCGCTGGAGGGCGGCGGCTGGAGGGAGGGCGGCGGCTGGAGGGAGGGCGGCGGCTGGAGGGAGGGCGGCGGTGTTGGGAGGGCGGGGTGCGGCGGCGAGCGGCGCTGGGAGAGGGGGCAGCTGTCAGTCTCGCACCGCTCGGATGCGGCCGCCGCTAGGTCGACGTACCCGATCGTGACCGCCTCGCCGGCCGCGAGAGGGCGGAGGGCGCGCAGTGTCAGCTTGCCCGCCGCACCAAAGGACTGGGCTGCCGTCGGGTCGCAGTCGTGGTTTGCGAGGGCTGCGAGCGGGTAGAGGCCGATGCCGATCTCCTGCGCGCCGGGGGGGAGGGGGTGGCGTGGCGCGGGAAAGGGCCGGTGCGCCTCTCTGCAGGTGGACCCTCTGCAGGTGGACCCTCTGCAGGTGGACCCTCTGCAGGTGGACCCTCTGCAGGTGGACCCTCTGCAGGTGGACCCTCTGCAGGTGGACCCTCTGCAGGTGGACCCTCTGCAGGTGGACCCTCTCGCCTGCAGCTCCGCGTCGCAGATGGCGTGCGCGTTGAGCGAGAGGAGCGAGAGGAGGGAGGCGACCTGCTCCTGGGGAGGGCAGGAGCTGCTCCCCGCCCAGCCGCCGCCGCTCCGCGCAGCCTCCTGGATCAGCGAGCAGACCATCCCCGCCTGCTCCCCGAACTCGGCACACCTCTCCGCCGGCTGGCCACCGAGCTGGTGCGAGAGCGACAGGATCGCCGCGGCGCTCCTCGCCCATTCGCCCGCGTCCTCGGGCGGAGGCGCGCCGGCGGAGCGGCGGAGCAGCGCGAGCAGACGCGCCAGCAGCCGCACCGTCTGGCCCGGCACCCGCGGGCGAGTCTGCGCGAGCAGCGCGCACTCGTCGCGGTGGCCCGCCCACGCGGCTCGCTGGTGGTCGGCGGAGCAGTAGCGAGCGCAGCCGCAGCGCGAGCAAACCAGCAGGCGACCACCGGTGGCGTGGGAGTGGTGACAGCGCGAACTCAGGTGACGACCACTCACGACTGCTACTGCCGGTGTCACGCGCATGAGCACCTCTCCGCGCTTGAAGGAGCGCGTTGTGACCAAGCCACGCCCACCGCCGCCCACTGCGCCGGCCGCAGCGAGCGTGAGGCCCCACGGCGCAAGCGCCTCGTGCCACCGCGCCGTGCCCGTTGAGTCGGGCTTACGCTCGCCGCCGCCGCCATCGACAGGGCGGGAGGCGACGAGCTCGGCCCAGTGTGCTGCGTCGCCCGGCGGCGTCACCTCCAGCACGCGGCGAGACTCGCCTTCGGCCACCCGTTCGTCGACCCAGGCCTCCTCCGCCGCCGCGCGTGCGGCCTCGCGCTGCTCGTCCGCGCGCATTGTGCGCTCGGCCACAGCTAGCCGCTCGAAGGTGAACTCCGACATCGCTTCGACTCGCGAGGGCACGAGCGCCGCACACGAGCGCGGCGGAACAGTTTTCTCTTTGGCCGCCAGTTGCCCCTTCCCCGAGCCCGACTGCCCCGTCGGCTATTTCCCAGGGGCAGGGCGGCACTACAACTCAGGTGTCAGGAGTGTCCTGATTCGCCAACAACATACGGAAGAGGTGTCAGGAGGGAACACTATCCCCTAAGCTACGATCCGGCGAGGTAGGAGCTCCCGAACCCTGATCTCGAGGTTCTCGAGGTGGATATCCTTTGGCCGCGTTGGGTAGCGAGGATTGGTGTGACGCGAACCCTGATAAAAAGAAAAGACAAAACGCCACTACTGGTCAAACAAAACAAAAGGAATCTCTGTCACTGTCTCTCTCTCTCTCTCTCTTCATGCATTCGATCTCACATGTCATGGATGCTTTGTCCTTTGAAATCCTGTTGTGGCGGCATGAGTTCTCGTTTCTCTCCGCGCCCCCACATCTCCTTTAGTCTTTTTTTCCGTGTGTGGGTTGCGTCTTTTACTCTTTCTATTTCGTTGCACCGACGGTCGGTCCTCGAGAAAGAATACCCTTTTCCTTGCACTGGGGGAGAGCGAGAGCAAGCCCTGTGTGACAGCATCGGCCAGGCGGCTCGATCCGGAAATAAATGCGCGGGAGCCGGGACGCGGGAGCGGTAGGAGAGCGGAACGAGTAAGCGAGCTGAGCGAGGAGAGTTGTGTTGTGTGTAAGGCGAGACCTCGGGGCGCCCCATTTGCAGAGCCCCGAGCACAGCATCTCGAGGTAGCCAGGAGGCCGTGCAGTGCACTGGGACGCCGGATAGCGGGGATGTTCGGCGACGGGCCCGCCCTGCGGAGACGCGTGTGCGGCGCTGCCAGGGCGGGCCACCTGCGCGGGGTCTACGCCGTGGACTTGTGGCCGAACGGATTCCAGCTCGAGTCGGGCAGTTCTTGCTTCTTGGCCTCGCGCTCCATGAACTTGACACGCGACACGCGGACGCGAGTTTGCTGCTTGTGGTCCGCCAAGTTGCTCAGGCGGTGCGCGAGGTCGGCCTGCTTGCGCTTGTGGATGCGCGCCATGGAGCTCTTCTGGTCCTTGAGCTGCAACATGCAATCGCCGCGGGGCTCAGGGCGAAAAGCGCCGGGTAATGCGCCGGCGGCGGTGGGGGCGTGGTGGGGAGGGCGCCTGCTGCTCGATGGCGAGTATCCGCTCAAGCTGCCCGGCAGCGAGCACGTCGTCGACTGCGTTGTTGGCGAAGACGCACTCGCAGAGAATCCCGACCGCCTCATGCAGGGCCGCCTCCCGTGCCTCCGACGGGATCGTGTCCGGAAGTGCCGTTTCCCTGATTAGCTGCTTGACGACGAGCTCCTTGACGGCGTCCAGGTCTGCCGCGTCGGCTCCGATGAGCTGGTGCACAAGGTCGATCGGAAGCAAGCGTTCGAACTGTGGCACAACCGCCTTGAGGCTCGCCAGCAGGAGGTCGCGCGAGGCCGCCTCGTCCAGCGGCGCCCCCGGCTCAATCGAGGCAGCGACGCAAAACTCGCGGATCGCACGCTCGAACCGCGGGGCGAGGAGCTGGATCGCAGCAGAGGTGATCGTAATATCCTCAACTTCCCGCGCCGTCACCTGCGCCGGCAGCACAGGGCGCTTGTATCGAATGTGTGAGAGGAGTTGGGCGTGGCAGAAGCAACAGGCTGGGCGCCTGGAGCAGCATCAGGTGAGGTTCGCTGAGCACCAAATTCATCACCGTGGTAGTGACGTTGAACTTGGCCTCACGGCTCAGGAGAGGGAAGTTCAGCATTTGGAAAACCTGCTGAGTGAGGCGGCTGTTCAGCGCGGACGAGACGGCTCCACTCTTGAGGGACTCCCTCGTCTCGACGTCAAGCTCGCTGAGCACTATTGCCGCAGCCGCGACGATTTGCTCGATGAGCGCGTCTTTTATTGCAGTTGGCATTGCCGCAACAACAACGGTCTCGCCTATCTCCTCGGCAATCTCCTCCTGCTGCTCCGGCGTGAAGAGCACCTTGGGACCCTCGAAAAAAGTTCGGGACCGCTTCAGGTGCGCGGGCTCACACACAGTAGGGGCAGAAGTGAGAGCAGCCGCAGCAGTCGGCGCGACAACTGCCAGCACCAGCCGCCTACGCCCGCCGGCAACGACGGCCTGCCGAGCAAAACCGGCGATGCGGCTAAACATCGAGCTGCTGGAGCGGTCGCAACGAGAGCGATGCGGCTGCGACGCCTCGGAGTCGGGCGCGAGCTGCGTTTTACGTCTTTCGGCGGGATGAAGTTGGATGAGGATAGAGACCGCATGGAGTAAAGTAACCGCGCGCTGCTAAGCTAGACGACACCGCGTGCCGTCGCCAGGCTGGCCGAGTTGTGTGGTCCCGTGTAGGCCGGGAGAGAGAATTTGGTCATGAAAGTGTCACCCTCACACACATGCGGGTGCACATGCACCCGCATGTCCGACTCCAAAGAAAGTGAGTGAGGCGAGATTCATCATACAGTGTGATCGTCCCTCTCTGTTGGTTTTGGTTGCCAGTCACGCCCCTCGAACTCGGAATCTCTTATAATCGCGCCAAATCCCCCCCTCGCAATATATGAACGCAGAAAGAGGGATTTTAGCCGCCCTGTCCTCCCCCCGAGGACGCCCGTTTTTCGGGCGGTCCCCGCAGCCGGTCGCGATGGGCGAGCTCAAGGACTGGATGCCGCTGGTGATTTTTGATTTGGCCTGCGTCTTCCTCTACTCGGGGATCATCTTTGGATGGGCGCCGCTCCACCAGATGCTCGTCAAGGAGGGCTTTTACGCTGAGCTCTGCGAAGGCGAGGAAGTCCCATGCGCCGCCATGGAGAACAAGCTGAATTCAGCCTTCACGCTCGCCTCGAGTGCGGTGTCGGTGATCGCGCTGCCTGCGGGCTGGTTTGTCGACACCTTCGGCCCGATGGCGGGAATCATGATCGCGGGCGTCCTGCAAGTGATTTCGCTCACCGGCATTGGGCTCGTCCAGCAGCTCGGGGATGTCGCCGGGTTTGACCTGTTCGCAGCGTCGCTCGTGAGCATGTCGATGGCCGGCGCGATCACCATGTTCTGTGGCTACACCGTCCCCTTCCTCTTCCCCAAGCAGGCCACGCTGCTCATCGCCGCCACCTCGTGCCTCTTTGACGGCTCGTGCGTCATCTTCGCCTTTTGGAAGCCC